GGAAGACAAAGAGAGAAAAAATAAAAGAAAAACAAAAGACAGAAAAAACGAGGAAATAAAGCAGAAAGACAAAAGAAGAGAGAGAAAAAGAAAGGTCAGAAAAAGAGGAGAAAAGAGAATAAATATAAAATTTTAAAAAACCGGTCTCGGTCGACGTACACCTGCGCCTCCGCCCGCCCTTTCAATATGTAGGCGCAAGATCAAGGCCTTCTCTACCTGGAGAACTTACCTGCCAGCTACCTTCCTGGAGGCAGCAATTTTGAGAGATCCTTGTAGTAAGCATGATTTATTCTCCCATCTCCATCCGTTATCCAATCTCCTTCTTTTTTATCCATTCAATTCTCTCACTCTTCTCTCTTCTCATTCTCCGCTCGTCCTTCTACTCTCATCCTCAATTCTCCCTGCTCAGCTATCGTCTCATGACTCCTCACATTCCTTCTTATTACTCCATCTCCTTTCCTATTCCTTTCATTTTTTCCCTCTCCCCATTCCTTTCGTTCTCTTATTTTTCAACTCCACCGCTCTTCTCTTCTCATTCTTATCATTCTTTTCTCCCTCTTCGTACCCTACTTTCTTCTCTAACATGATACATCCTCCTCTCACCCAACCTACGTCCCTCTCCGCGCACTCACCATCTTCCCACATCTCCTCTTCTCCTTCTTTATACCTTCGTTCCTATTCCCTCCACTTCTTCTTCCCCCTTTCTTGTACCTCCTTGTTTATCGCGTCATTTGCCTCCATTGCCTACAGGATTCTGCCTACGTCTGAGGTCATAAACTAGCCTATTGATATCTTTTTTCTCACTTTTATCTTTACTATCAATAACGTTTTTTTTTTTTATCTCTTAAATAATCAAATTAAAACACTTAAAAAAAATATTATTTTCAATGTACGATTACTTTTAAAAAAAACTATATGACGAACGCGAGAGAGAGAGAGAGAAGAGATGACAGAGAGCAGAGGGAGAGTAGAGAGAGAGAGAGAGAGAAGATAAGAGAGAGAGAGAGATGAGAACGCCGGCAAGACGGTACGATAGTGAGAGTAGAGATGGAGTATCCCCCACATGCCCATTATCGTACCTCCAGAAACAGACAAAAAAGAAGACACACAAACACCAAAAAAACCAGAATCAGAAGACAACAGAGACAGCGAAACAAAAGGAAAAAGAAAAAAAAAACCGCGCGCCCCGTTCCCACGACCCCCGTGTCCCGCCTCGACCCCCTTCCTCCGCCGAAGCATCGCGAAACAATGCATTGAAAATTAATAGAGGCCGCAAATATTTTGTTACTCCAACTTTCTATGTCCCTCGTTTTTGTTAAAATACGGGCATTGTCTAATGCCCTATCTTTTTTTTTTTTTTTTTTATTTTTTATTTTTTTTGTTCAAATTTTTTAACGGTCATTCTCCCTAATTGGCTAAGCTCGTAACCCTCGCCGGGAATTTCAACCAATGGGAAGCGTCCGAGAATTCATCGTCACAAATGCAGGAAAGAATGAATAAGACGATGAATAACTTCGCAGTGAACAGTTGATGATATAGAAAAAAAAGAAAGGCATAGTCGAAATTATAGAAGAGAAAAACAACTGAAATACACAGTCGAAAATATGGGAAAAAAACTGAAATACACAGTCAAAATACAGAAGAAAAACTAAAATACAGAGTAGATAGTATAGAAAAAAAAATGAAATACACAGTCGATAAAATAGAACTACATGAATTAAGACTTGAAATACATAGTAGAAATTACAGATGAAAAAACAAACAAACAAACTGAAATACACAATCAATACCATAACAAATTAAAAAAAAAAAAAAAAAAAAACACACAGTCGACAATACAGAAATAAAAAAAACTAAAACACACCATCGAGATAACAAGTCGAGAAAGAAAAAAAATTATTAAGAAAAAGAAAGAAAAACAAACAAACAGATACTTACATACCAAAGATGAAGAAGAATAAGAAAAACAAAATAAATAAAGATGCATACTAATCGCAGGGATAATTCTGTGTATGGTAAAACGACCCATTTTCATTCATATTTTTAATTCCTTTTTCATTAATTAATACAACTGCATATTAACTTTAACTTACCAAAACGAGGACAAAAATGGGAAGCAGTCTCATGATGATGATTTAATCTGCGAAAAAGAAAAAAAGGAAATAATGTTTTATGATAAATAATATAGTGTGTAATGTGAATAATGCGAATATTGAGACGGCAGTGTGTGTGTGTGGTGTGATGTTTGTGTGGTGTGTGTAGTGGGTGTCTCTTATGCTTATAATTGAATATATATTGTGATGTAGAATGATCGTGTTGTCTCGCGTGATAGTCACGTGTGATGTGTGTGTTGATGTTGTTGTGGTCATTGTTGAATTGTGTTTGTGTATTGTGTTTGTCTGTTGTGTGGAGTGTTGCGTTTTTATTTTGCGTGTACATGTGCAAGACATAACCTTATGCTTTTATCATTTCTATTCTTTGCGTCAAATGATAAATCTATTACGTGTGTAAGGTGCTGTGTGATTGTGATGTAGTGCTGTGGTGCTGCCGCGCGCGCAGCTGTTGGACGAGCTG